CTACAGGAATAATTAAACTCAGCTTTTAGCTTTAATATCTGCCTCAAGGGGTCACTGTTTAACTGCTCTTATCCAAAGGGACTTTCTACATTGGGATGTTATATGTGGCTTCTCTAATGTTGTTCCTTTGATTATAGACTACACAATTACGTTCACCACTGTAGTATTAGTGGAAAAGTTTGCCATGTGATTTAATTCTCCATACCCAAAGTGTAGCTCTTAATATTATTGTGTACATACGTGCGTGCGTGTGTGGTTTTTACTTTTTCTTACTGGTTTTTTAAAATTTCTGTTATGATTTTGATTATTGTAAAAGTAATGAGTTCTTATTCTAACATTTCAAACAATACAGAAGTATATGAGTTTAAAAGTAAGAGCACTCCTTACCCTACCCCAATCCTACCCCCCGAGGTAAACTGTTAACAATTTGATATGTATCCTTCCAGATCTTTTTTTATGTATATTCAAACATATATACGTATGTGTGTGCATGCATGTGTGTGTACTACAGTGTATCTCATGAATTAAATTTCTTAAAATGTTTTGTGTTACTGAAGTCTCTGCTGTTTTTGGTTATTTTGCTTGTTTCATTTGTTGATTTAAAGAGGAAGTACAGGAAAGGGAATGATCTTTATTCAAGAATTTCAAAAATTCAGGACTGAAGTCCTGACCTCTCAGTAGAAGCATTTTTCCCTTTTTGCAGTAAGTATTTTAGGATATTACCTAGCAAAGCAGGTCATTTTTTCCCCCATTAGGAATAATGTTATAATTAGGAACATTCTGTTCCCAACTAGGGACTACACACAGAATAAAATAAGGTTATCAAAACAACTATATCAAAGATACAACTATAAAGCCTGTATATTTAAAATAATAGTAGGCATCAAGGCTTATTAAATGGCTTTAATTTCACAAGCTATTAAAACATTGAACTATATAAGAAGTTATAGCATACTAAGAAAGTATAGAAATAGCATATGAAGAATACAACTCTATCAAATATTAAACTAAAATAAATATGTTGTCTATAATAACTTGAAATTTTGTCAATAATTGTGCTTGCTCTCCTAAAATTTAGAACTATTCAGAGAGAATTTCATAGACTTTTGGGATTGAAAAAGACCTCTTAGTTCACCTAACTCAATTAACCATCAGAATTTAAAGCTTGAATTATCTTCCTAAATAGATCATTTCATCTTCAGATAGCCCTTACTCTTAGAAAGTTGTTCTTTCAATTTAACAGAAGACTTTTGGCCTGAACTGTACGTATCTTTTTAAGGATCCCTGGTGGCACAGAGGTTAAGGCGCTTGACTGCTAACTGAAAGGTTCACAGTTCGAAACCACTAACAGCTCCGTGGGAGAAAGATGTGGCAGTCTTCTTCCATAGAGATTTACTATGGCCTTAGAAACCCTGTGGACTCGCTATGAGTTGGAATCAACTTGAGGGCAGTGGGTGCACATTTTAATC